ACAGTGCTTTAGAAAATCAAGCAAAGGAAGTTAAGAAAGTGCCAGTAATCTGCATCCCTTCTCACCCACAGACACAAACACCTGCCCCCACCCCCCACCTGCTTGTGCTACCTGGGAGATGATCAACCCTGTACCTCTGGCTTCCCATTTCTCCAGCCCTGTTCTCTACCAGTGACAATGGTAACGAGTTTTCACCCAATTTAATAGGGAACTAGCTAGGCCCTTTTTGCCCTGCTGTCTTCCATATGTGAGGACACAGCAAGAACACATTCACCAGACCGTGATCTTGAACTTCCTACCCTCTAGAACTGTAATAAATAAATCTTTGTGGTTTATGAATGACCTAATCTCAGGTACAGTACAGCAGCCCAAACAGAGACATTATTAGATAGGCCAGTGGACATCCTTCAAATGACTGAGCAGAGGACAATTTTCACAAGAGCAGAACGAGCCCAGATGATTTCGCCTTTCTTTCTTGGTCCCAAGCCCCTCTAGTTTTCCCATTTCAGTCAGTGTGGCTCCATCTTTTCCACTGCTCAGAGCAAAAAACAAAATCAGGGCAAGCCTTCTCTGATTCCTCCTCTCATCTGCATCCCAATCCATCACGATTCTGTCAGCTCAACCCTCCCCACAGATACAGACTTCAACCCCCTCAGCACTCGAGCACCCCCACCTTGGGCTTCTGACCAGTGTCCCTCCTACAGCCCAGTCTATCTATGACAGCAGCAGTAAGGACCCTGAGCCTTCTAGCAGCATCTTCACCCTGCCCAGGCCAGCTTGCCTGCTGGTCAGACCTCATCTGGAAGGCCTTCACACCAACTTCCCCTCTCTGGAACTCTTCTTCCTGGGACAATGGAGCAGCTGCTTCACTTTCTTTGTGTCCTTCCTGAATCTCAACTTCTCCAAGAGGCCTTCAGGGTCAGGTTAGAATTGAAGCCTGGCCCTTAGTGGTCTACCTAGAAGCCACAAACCTCCAGGGGATTATCGGTATAGGAAGTAGTTGAAAATAAGACACCCTGAAAAGAGCGCAGTAAAATGCCTGTGCAGAGCAGCACATGCGCCAAGCCCTGGGTCTGGGAGCTTGCAGTCTGGGTGATGAGAGATGAGTTAAAAATAGCAGATGTGACATTAACCGGGCATCAAGAGCAGCTGTAGTTGGTGTGTGGTCCCCTTGGCCACCTCTGCTATAACAAACCCTCCTACCTCACGCTTCAGCCACTTTTTCTTAAACACCTACACTTTCTTGCTTCTATACCTCATGCTGTTTCTTATGCATAAATTGGTATTTTCTTACACAAACAGATGAAGGTCCATTATGGAAAATTTAGGAACTCAGAGACGAACAGGGAAGCTTCATCAGGAGCTATGCCACAAGAAATGTAACAAAAACATATATGGCAGACAATCCGAGGCCACACTGGTGGTGGCCTAACCTCCTCAGGAACCCACCCTTGCTCCTTTCCAGCCAGGGCACCCCCTACCCCTGTGCCAGCAGCAGGGGTTCTGGAGGCTTTTCTTGTGGTCAATCAATCTAGTGTTCTCAGACATTCCCCTCTCACTCCCATGCACGAAGTGACACTTGTCATTTGATGAGTTTCCCAGTACAACAGAGACAATGAGAACCCTGTGTTGAATGGTGACTGACTATGGAGTCATCAGGGCTGCCAATGGAGTCTTGGAGACAATGTCCACAGTGTCAGTGCTGTTCTCTCTCCTATGACTGTCAATGGCTTTAACAAGTCTCATTTCTTGCTCCACTGTGAACTCAGCCACTTGAAACCCTCCCACAATTAACTGAAAGTTCGCCTCTATGTTGGCAGGGAAGGCCTTCCATTAGTGCCACAGAAATTTCCAAATAGGTGTATAAATGGATTGAGGAAACCATCATTATTTACCAACTCCCACATCAATGAGAACACATAGTTTCTGAAAACTGTGAGCCAAAGTGATGAGGACAATGGCTTACCTGATACCTGTGGGTCAACTTATCTGAGTGAGGGTCCACACCAACCCCTGAAGGAAAGTATCACACATCCAGATGCGCCCCACCAACCCAGGGCACTTACTCAAGCTTGTCCTAGAAGATACAGCTAGAAGTCTACACAATGTAAACCCACCTGGCCTGGGCTCCTCTGCGTCTGGGTGGGGCTCTGAACTCCAGTAACAGGCTGGGTGTGCCCTGTTCTTTGCCTAAGGCAGGTCTTTCTATTCTCTTTTCTTCTTCCACCCAAACCCAAGCCTGGGAAGGCCTGTCCTGGTGGCTGCTTCTACCTCCCTCCACCCAGAGGCCACAGGAAGTTGGACCCTACCTCCACCAGGAAGCCTCCATCTCAAGTTCTGCCTCTCCTCCTCCTTCAGGAGTGGGATGATCACAGCTACTCATGCCTCCTTAAGACAGCACCCCATGTGCCCATTCCCAAGGGGTTCAACAATGAGGCTCTCATGGTAGACAGGTTCTGAAGACTTTTGCTATCTTCATCCAAACAGGTAAGTCATTATCTCTTTATCTGCAGTTTCACTTTCCAAGGTTTCAAATGACTAAAATATTAAATGGAAAATTCCAGAAGTAAACCATTCATCAGTTTTAAATTGCATGCCATTCTGAACAATGTGATACAACCTGTCCTACTCCATTCTGTCCAAGAAGAAAATCATCTCTTGGTCCACTGTATCCATACTGTATATGCTACTGATCTGTTAGACATTTAGCAGTCATCTCAATTATGAGATCTAATGGTATTGCAACACTTGTGTTCAAATAATTCTTCTTGTACTTTCTATTATAATTGTTCTATTTATTATAATACAGCAATTGTCCAATTTTTGTTGCTTATTATTGTTATCTCTGGGCCCAATTTATAAATTAAACTTTATCCTAGACATGCATGTCTAGGAAAAAACATAGTATATATAGGGTTTGAACTATCCATGTTTTAGGCATTCACTGGGGAGCTTAGAACATATCCCCTGAGGACAAGGGGGAACTACTGCATTAACAGCCAGTACTCCTCTGCTGCACAACAGTGGAGAAACCCAACTCACTCAGATGAGTGTAAGTGGAAGCTCATCACATGTGACCTAAAGATTCTAGACCGACTTAGAAAACTGGAGCAGGAACACAGCTAGTCCAGCCCATCTGAGGTGGGATGGAAAAAAAAATAAAAGGTAGAGACAAAAGGAAGAATAAGAAAATATAAGCTTAATCTAAAAGCTTTGTTCTAAAGCTCCTCATACCTTCACTTCCAAATCCAGTTCTCTCTCTTAGGCCTATCACTGCCAAATTTCTGGGAAATCTGTAAATCTTAAGAATTACCATAAATTCACCCACTTAAAAAAGATAACTTGTGCCCTCTTAATCAGCCCACATAATAATTAAGCAAAGAGAAATGCACTATTTTAAGAAACCTGTAATACAGAGTACTTCTCCAATATTATCTACTGATCAAATAATGGAGATCACCTAGGCCTAAAGATCCTGAGAAGGACCAGACCACCATAAACTTATGTCACCCCTCTATACCTTCCATGCCCACTCATCAAGTTTCCTTTAATTAAAAGAGCCCAAGAACTCTAAAGTGTCTCTCACTCCTGAGATAGCCCATGTTCTCCCTTGAACATGTATTCTTTGCTTTCTTAAACTTATATGCCTCTAACTTGTCCTTAAACTCATTTCTGTGATGTTTGTCAAGAACTCCACTCACTCTGAGTTGAGGTCCCCCTCTACAAGAAATTCCTTGGTCCTCCTCAGGTTGCACATGGACTCCAAAGCCAAGAGCACAGGCAGCCCTCCTCAGCTCCCCTCTGCTTATCCGTATCAGTCTCCTCATTCACAGATGAGCCAGTCTACGTAGTGGGAAGTAAGGCAGCCCCCAACTTTAAACTTCCCAGTGTCCTGTAAGCCCCCAGAGAGACTGACTGAGTGGCTCCTCTCCAAGCTTCTCCAGGGAAGGGAATCGAAGGGCTAAGCTCAAGCCAGGTACCCATGGCTGGAGGGCTGGGGTCCTACTGTAGCACTAGGCCTCCCACACTACCTAAGAGTTTGGGTGAAAGAGGGTTCCTACAAAGAGACTGGGGGAGTATAGACAGAATCACCTCAATCCATCTCAACTTTTAGTAGTAGCCAATCGAGACTTGCTTACAGCAAGTGTTTCTTAAGATTGCAAAAAGAAAAATCAAAGAAGTCCCAGTGTTAAGTAGAAGTTTTTTATATTGTTTAAAAAACATTACATAAACACAGAATTAGGAATAAACTCTTCTTGTTTAGAGCTCTTAAACTGCTAAAAGAGGCTTATAAATTAATGGCAAGCAAAACCCCAACACAAATGAACTCAGGTTTATATTACTTTAATGTGGCACATGGGGCTGCTGCATGGGAACCACTGCAGGATCACAGCTTAACCGACTCCAGTTAAGTTAATCAATGTTATACTCCTACTTCACCCCTGCCCTGCCTGAGGCCACCCAGAAGCTATCTGGTTAAAACAACTGTGGCTACCCACTTCCTGAGAGCTGTCAAGCAGGAAGAGGAGCAGGATACAGCTCTACCCTCCCTGGACTATGAACAGGAAGTCAAAGAATCCCAGGTGGTGAATACTTCAGCAGTCACTTTTCTCCTTTTAAATCAAGCCTACAATGCCTTCTGGCTGCTTGCCTGCCTTCCTCTGGCCTCGGTGGGCAGATACACCCTGCCCAGAGACTCCTTGGGTAGTAATCCTCACTGAGGAGGAAGTGTATGTGCGAGCACCATGACACATTCTGTAGATGTCTTCCATGTCTCTTCATTGGTTCTCTTACTGCAGGGCAGGGCAATGAGGATGGAGATTCTTGAGTTAACACCTGGCAGCCAGGTACACTGGGGTAGAGAAGCTCCCTCAAGGTCACAGCTGCAGAGAGAAGTCAGGACCTAAAAACAGGCTAGTCCTGTTTCTCATATGCAAAACAGAGCATATTAATTCAAATTACAACCAAAAGCTTATAAAAGATGCAATCATATTCCCTTCTGGAGGTTTTTGGTTTTTGTTTTTTAATTTCACAAACATTTTAATATTTTTCATAGTGGATATTTTGCAAAAAAGAGGAGAGGTGGTTCTCTCCAAAATTTCAATATGGCTCTTCATCTCTTATACTAACATTAAAACACTATCTGCTATAAAATAATATGAGTTAATAGAAAAGAGGAACCATGCTAATTTTTAAACAATTACTTCAACATAAAAGAATAAAACATAATAAAGAGCATATGTTGCTTGGTGCTAATGACATAACATTTTATAATCATATAGATGAAGCAAAACATACAACATCAACCAGATATTGAAATGGTTTAGAACTAGTATCTAAAGACAAATATTTCAGAAAATATGTCGAAATGTAACCACAGATTTGTTACAAGGAGTTAATGCACTTTTTTGGTTTCTCGAAATGAAAATGTGTTCTGATATTAATAATATATATTCTAAAAATTACAGGAGAAGCAGTTTTCATGTTTTAGTTCTAAAATCAAACTTTTGTCTTTACCACATACAGGATCTTGGGAAACTTAAACTCTCTGAGTGTCAGAATACTAATTTTTAGAATGGGTACAGTAACATCTTAAAGAATTATCATGTTGTTTAGATAATACCTGTAAAGTACTTTCCCTGGCATCTGACACATACTAAGTACTCAATAAAGAGTGGTGAGTATTTTTTCTATTACTAGTACTATTTTTCAGTATTTACTACTAATAATCACCCTTCAAATCTAAAAATAAAACAGCTTTAGAAGAATTGAGTATGACTGTCATCAAAGAATAAAATATTGGATTTCAGAGGTGGTATAGATGATATCCAGACTGTAATCATGGGAGCTTATGGCTACAGTGAAGTAAAGGTAGAGGTCATTGTCAGAAGTTGAGGTTGAGAAACTGTGAGATGGTCAAAGTTGTTCATCCATATGATGGTTATTTCTTTCTCAGAATAAGGATAAGAGATGAGGTGGAAAGGAAGACTCAGTTGCTAAAGCCTCGGTGGATGTAGGAGAATAACTTGGAAGATGATAACATGCCCCATTTGAAGCCTTCCCAGGAGCTCCACCCCCCTTTTGTCCAGCTCAGACTAGATTACATCTCCCTGGTTCCAACCTACTTTTCCATGGAATAAAGAAATCAGAAAGCGCACAAAGAAAACTGTACTACCATTTCCCAGCAGCACCTCAAAAACAAGTCTTGGATGCTTGCTAATAATTGCAATCCACTGTAGATTAATAAGGAGATTAACATGCTTTCTGACCCCACACTTTGTAATACGGAGAACAGATAAAAATATGGGTTCAAATAAATACACAGATATTGACATCATTGAAGCAGCATGACATAAAATGATATTTATACATACAACATTCCTCTGCAAAGCAAATGTAAAATAAAAGATATCTAGCAGATAATTTTGTTTATCTCATGTACCACACAGAGAAGTAGTACTCCTAGCTGTCTCACTAGATGGTAGCTCCCTTGGGTTACTTATTAAGACCCTATTTTAACTCAAATGTGAGCTAACCAACTCCCTCACTACAATGTGGCTTTTCCTTTTAGGGTATGTGAGCACAAGTGTGCAAGCATGCACATGCATATGTAGTGCCAAGGATGGAACCCAGGACCTCACACATGCCTAGCATGCACTCTGTGACTGAGCAATATCCCCAGCCCTGTGGCATCTCCTTCTTTAAGAATAAAGTCTAATATAGTATGGCTCACCTACAGCTCCAATATTTGAAGTAAAGAAAGTTCTATGCAGATTTTGGCTTTCAATGAAACTCTGCTGACAATACAAAGATTCAAACCACAGCCATTCCTAAGAACCATTCTAAGACCAGTGACAGAGTCACTTAAAAGGATATGACTTGTTGTAATTTTAAATATAATCCATGCTACTTTTCTCTATGACACAACATAATATTTTTTCCAAAAGTCTTTCAGTATTCTATTAACTGGAAAAGGAATAAAAAGTCATTTTAGAAACTAGAGACACTCAAGCACTGATCAATTCATAAAGTTCTTACACAGCTGAAGAAGTTTACATCAAATGGACAAAAATTAGTACAGAAACCTACATAAAGACTTAGAAACATCCATCTCTTAGAAAGCAGGTCAAATGGACTCAAAGACCTCACTGAATGAGAGTGAGTCAATGGGAAATAAAGTAATGTCTTCTCCTGGGAATAAGCAGAAACCAGTCCATATAATCAAGAAGTTATTTTTCTTCTTGATCTAAATGCTTGCCTCCGTCTGGGCTCAAAGAAAAGCTTTGGTCATTTGAACTGGTTGTCAATCAAGGTCCCCTTCATTTTAGCTTTCTTGGCTTCCAGTTCAGCCAGCTCTTGCAGTCGTCTCTTGCTCATGCCTTTGCGCTCCAGCTGTTTTTCAATCACTTTGGCATTCTGTGCATAGGAGTCAGCAACTTCCCTAGCCTCAATCTCCTCTTCCTCTTCATCAATGGTAGACACGGTGACAGAGCTGAACTTGCCCATGTCTTTGGTCCGTTTGGTCATCATCACCTTCTTTGGAGGCTCTTGTTTCTGAGTATATATATTTGTTTTCCCAAAACCCTGACCAAATTTCACTACTGCTCCATCCACGATGAAGGTCACAGGGGCATTCTTCGGCTGGGACTGGTAGAAGAGAGGTAGTCCACACTTGGCACACTTCTTCCTGTATTGTCGTTCAATGCCTTCAGGCCTTCGAAGATACACAGTCTCCTCATCTTCTGTATTACAAAATTTGTGAGCATGTTTAGCAGCATCAATCACACGGGATCGGTCTCGAGGCCTCATGGGCAACTTCTCTAACTGACAATCCAGCACCAGGACCATCTGGCCACACAAACAGTAGTAGACGTGGAGGGGCTTCTCACCATCGTCATATTCCTCGCGGTCCCGGGTATCGGAGCAGACAACCGACCGAGACACTACTTTAGGCATAGTCGAGTTTTTCGTTTTTTAAGCACGTTCACATCTATTATTTTTGTCTTATATTATTTATTGGACTATAATTTTCTTCCTTCCATCCCTTTCAGGAACCCCTGGAAGGAAACAGTTCAGATTCAAAACACACTAAATGATATTTCCCTCTCTTTCCCCGCCCATCATCTTTACAAGTGTCCCCTGTGGTCGCTCAGGCTCTGACCTGATCTCCAGCCTTCACATTAAGCAACACAGATACCAAGAGGAAATGGATCTTCCTGGAGAAGGCAAGAACACTTCAGGATGGGAGCAGCTTCTTTGTATCCTTCATGATTGATTTCCATTTCTTGGGCTGAAACTAAGCTCCTTGAAAACAAAGTCAATGTTTTTGTCAAAAATATTTCAACTAAAATTATTAAAAAACAAAACTTTTTGAACAGGATTGAGATAAGCCTAGCCAACAATACCAACTTATAGTAAAGTGAAAAGGCAAAAAGAGGAGCCAACACTTAGGTAAGTATTGCACAGAAACAAGATATTTCAGTGGGAAAACAGGATGGGCAATGCACCCCCCACGCACCATGAATCAGCAAGCTGCAACTTAAGACAGGGCTTCTACGGTGACAAGCTGGCTCTATGAGTAGGGGCTTCTGTTATTTTTGTACAAGTACTTGCAATTTCCTTCTCTTATGGTTCTCAACAGGTTCCATTAATTTACTGGAAAACATTCTGGTTTGATAAGTGATGATGTATCAAGGTGTTTTGAGAAACAGTCACCATGCTGTCCTCAATTCACACTGGTGACACATACTCTACAGTTCAAGAATGAAGCCTACATCCCATTCTTCTTACAAAAACTTCAATGGTCAAGAAGTTTAACAAGGGAAGCACCACAGGGAGTAAACCAGCTCAACACAAGGGCAGTGCAGGCCACATAAAAATGGCAGGCCAGTGGGGGCCTTGCCCAAGGTCAGCCTGCTCATGAGATACAACCATTCCAAAGCCTTTACTAGTACTTAAGAGCAGAGTGCACTCTTGACATAGGAGATAAGCTCTCACTAGCTCCCAGAGGGGCTAGTCAGATGCTTGGACCCTAAATGTCCCAAGGGCCCATAACACTGGTTACCAGTGGGTGGCACTATAGGGAAATGGTGGAACTCTTAGGAGATGGGGCATAGAAGGAAGTTAAATGGTCAGGGGCATACTCTTGAAAGAGACATTAGAAGCCTGACTCCTTCCTGTCTCTCTTCCTTCCAGCTGTCATGTGGTGACCAGGTTTTCTCTACTCCATGCTCCCACTGCCAGGTGCTGCCTTACTACAGGCTCAAAAAACAGTAGGGTTGAGTAAACATGAACTGAAACCTAGGAAACCATGAGCCAAGATAAATCTTTCCTTCTTTTAAGTTATTCATTTCAGGTCCTTTGTCACAGAGACAGAAAGCTGACTAACCCACTGACTTGGTACTACTCAAGACCTTTAAGAATGGGAAGCTCCACATTCTAATTTACACTGAAAGCAAAGCCAGGTTTCAGTTCTATTTACTGGAAAGCAAATTACTAATTCAAGACTTGAAATCCAGGCAACCTTCAAAACTCCCTGCTAATGGAGCTTCAGGAAAACAAAGGGAGGATACAGGTCCTAGGACTTATCTGAAGATAGTCTTAGGCCTATTTGCAAACACTGGTGTCTGCAATGCACAACAGTGTGCAGAATTCCAGCTCCCTTGTTCCTGCTGATCCCTCTGCCATTCTCACCCTGGCACTTTCAGCAGGATAGCACGTGAGCCTGTGAAGCACTGGCAGATTCACTCTATATACATTATTTCTTCCTAGATCACCACTGAAAGAGCAGAACAAATAATAATTTGAAAGTTCCTGTGTTTCAGGTGCATTGAGTTGGGTAGGTCTGACTTATTTTTATCACCACTAAGAAAGCTTATTTTCTAATTCACAAATGTAGAAGTTGGCTTTAAGAGAAAATATATTTTCTAAGTAGCAACAAAATTCCTTAAAGGGCTCCAAATGCAAAGCAACAACCACAGATCAATGATATGCTGGGAAGACAAAGTTATTTTTGAATCAAGGCAGGAAGCCAGGAGACTAGGAACGACCTGCCCAAGGCCTCCCAGTGGGCACCACCAGCCAATTCTGTTTCTAGCTTCCTCACCAGCAAATCAACATCAAGGAAAGATGTCTTGGTCTTCTAAGTACCTCGGAAATACTGAGTCACACGTTCTGCATGCTTAACTATATGTAGCTCTCTAGTGAAGTGGTATATTATCTACCTGCTTTAACTGTAAAAATGGAAACCGTTTTAATAATTTATTGATGGGTGGAACACTTTACCAAGGAAAAGTGTTCAAAGAACTTCAGTGCTCCATATTCTTATAAAAAAAAAAAAAAGAAAAAGGAGACAGAGGAGGAGGAGGGAGAAGGAGAACAAACCTCTTGCTCACTTGATCCAAACCGGAAGGATCCTGCCTAATCTACAAGGATTGCAATGAGCATCATTCCTTACCAGCAGAGCAAAGAGTGACCTGTGCTCAGGCCTGGTAAGGCTGGGTCAAGATGCACCTGCTGAAGAACAGAGAGGCAACAATTACAACCATCATACAAAAGGAAACTCCCTCAGCCCAGCAGGTCTGCAGGGGATCCAAAGATCAGTCTGGCATCAGCACAACGAAACCTAAAGTCAAGCCATGCTCACCAGTTCTGAAGGATGAATTGGTTCTGCAGATATAAAATAAAACTCAAACAACAAAAGAAACTAAAACCACCTGATAACTCAAAAACCCAAGAAATTTCCAGTCCATTAGCAAAAATCTTATACCAGGGCCATATTTTGTCTTGGAGCTGGACTTTCCAAATTACCTCTCCCATGCAGTACAGAAGTGAGATTGTTCCAGAAAGCTGCTGGAACTAGTTTCCCTTTCTTTCACTGTGGCCTTATTCCAGAAAGATTCCTAAGCTGGTTATGTTTCTGAAGAGAATGTGAATGGGTTGGGATATCTGTGTAATCCTAAGAAAAATGTCAAGAGGTACTTTAGCCATTACTTCTTTTTTCTCAAATATTTGCAGCTGAATTCTGAAATAAAGAGGATGCACTGAGAACAAAGGCCCCCACAAAGTTTCTCCCTGCCACATAGCACATGTAATGTTACTATCACCGAGACAGTGAAAGCTAATTAAAAGCTCTACTTAGACTTTTTACATTTTATTGTAAATATTCTTGGCAGTTGGGTAGTAAAGGGATCAAAGAAAATATGTCTTCAAAATTCAATTTTCAGATTGTTGCCATCTCTCATTAGAAGAAACCTGCAGAAAAACTAAAAGCTGGAAACCGGCATGGAGCAGGTACATCCTCCGAGCCCCTTAAGCGCCCCCCTTACCAGCCCACTTCAGGCCCAGCCTCCTTAACACAGGCCAGGACACTGACAGTGCAGCCAGGGAGGGTGGGCCTCTGCAAGTGGAATGAGCTCTCTCATCTGGAGAACACAGGTGTCACCTAACACCCTAGACTATGATCTGGCCCTATAAGTGGAGCTCAGAGAGAACTAGGCTCTTGGAGAGAACTGCTTACTTACTGGGCAAGGTGAACACATTCAAAACATTCCAGAACGCTGGATGGGGAGGCAGTGGGCACGCTGCATGAAGATGACTGAGGTCGTAAATTAGCCTAAGCTACTCTACACACAGCCAAGGATCCTAACAGCCGTGCAGTTGAAAACCAACAGCACACTCAGTACGGCAGCATAGGGCACATCTACCTACCACCAGCGAGAGGCAGAGAAATGCAATGGACACAAATGACACAAAGTCAGAACACCTAGGCTCTTGGCCTGGTTCAGGTCTTCATTTAACCATTCAGTCTCAGGCAAATCACACTCTGGGCACCTCACTGCACCACTTGCCACCCCTCGACCCCATGCCATCCCCCACCCACCCAAACTACTGTGCTACACTGGCAAAGTATCCAAAATGATATAAATTATGCTCACTCTATTTTGTCATTTACTCCTTACAACAAAGCCTGGCCACCACAGAAAATCATTATTCCCAGTCTGAGTGAGGACATTCTGTGCACAACCAACAAGGCTGAGACAAGAAGTTATCATCTCCCAAAGTTGGCACGGACCCTACAGTACTTTCTGAACTGCAGGCACCCAGGGGGCCATTGCTTCTATCATGACTTATACTATGGCTCATGAGTTTTTCTTCAAATAATTTTTTAACAAATGTGCTACATGAACTATTTTGATAGCTAAATATTTAGTGTGTATATATATATATATATATATATATAACTATTCAAATCTAAAGCTTGCCGCTCTCCTACCAGGGGCAGTGACAAAGATTCTCTGTTGGCCAAACTTTGGATCCTGAACATTCTTCTAGGCCCATCTGTGCACTACCTAATAAAAATCCAAGTTTAGCCAAGAGCCCTGCTAAGGTAGTTTAGCAAGGACCTCCCACCCCGGCATCTGATCATCATCCATAGATGACCAAGATCATCATCCCTTACCACCACCACTACTCTAGTACATGACTAGTAACTCTGGCCTATCTTCAGTAAAAAAAACTGGTTAGACCAGTTTAGTCAGAATCCCCCTGACCCCTGATGTTCTCTCTAAGTAATTTTCCATTCACTGATCCCCACCCTACTCTTTGGCTATATGTTTCTACTTGCCCTCTGTAATTGAAACTGGGCCTAATCTCTCTCCCTAATGCAAGACCCTGTTGTGTCTCTGAACACATTGAGGTAGTCCTTAAAAAAACTGTCCTTACCATGCTTTAACAAGCATCACTGAATGGTTTTTTAATAGCAGACCTGCCCTTTAGGAAACACTGGACCAAGAGAGGGCTCATGGAGCCAGTGTGCCATCTCCATCTTCATCCCCAACCCTCAACCAACTGTCTGATTGTTGGAAAGCTTGACTCTGAGTCCATGGCCACTGCCATAAAGTGGGAAAGATAGCCTGCCTACAAGGTTTGCTGGGAGAGGGATGTAGTTCAGTGGTAGAGCGCTTGCCTTACACCTGGGTACTATCCCTAGTACCCAAAAAACAAACCAACAGAAGGTTTGCTGAAAATCTAAAATAAGAAAGTGCATGTGAGAGTTTGTAGACCACAACTCATGATGTTAAATTCAATGTTTCTAGGTCTTGCTAAGGGTCAAATGAGATAGGATTTGGGTGGAAGTTAGGATTTAAACCTTAAATGACACATTATTTCTGAAGAATGATAGCCTGAGGTGTGAGCAATGAGAACACTTGCCCAGAAATTATATCTGATCCAGTTGGTGACATCTCCTGTGGTTTTCACTGGGCCCCACAGGTAGTCACTGGGCACCCCAGTGATATTATGCTGGGCTCTGGGCCCACGTTCCTACCAGACTTGGGTGGGTGGCCTGACATCTCCAACCTTACTATTTCTTTAAACAGCAATCTCCTCCTCCTTTCCTCATGAACACTACTGAGAAAGATTTTCTATGTGGAGTCAGAGGATGTGGGAATCTCTCTACTTTCCCCTCAATTTTGCTGTGAACCTAAAAGAGCTCTAAAAAACAACTTTATTAATTAAAGTTTGACACTAATTCCAAAGGGGTTTTTAGCTGCCCTGCCCTAGATAGTCAGAAGAAAGTCTCCAAACACATCAGCGTTTCAGCCTTTTAAGGTATAAATTCTAGAGTCCGACATTCATCAGATCACTTGGAACAACATTAAGAAAAGCCTTAAAATTTCAAATAAAGTCAAATAAATATAGCACTCTGCAGATCTTAAACAAGGCTGCACAAGATGATCAAATCTCATATCCAAAGAGTGGAAAACAGAGAAAGTGCAAAGCAGATCTGAAAACACCCATGACGAACCATCAACAACACTGCTATAGCAGGGAGAGAGGGAAGGGGTCAAAACCCAAAGCAAACCTGGCATTTTGGGAATGGCTGCTGACATTCCATCCTGTTTCTACGTGCCACTGTGCACATCAGCCAGACCCCATAGCAGGTGGACAGATGGCAAACAGTCATGACGGAGCAGAGAGAAGACAACCTCCAAGGCAGCCATTTTTAATTTACTACATCTTCCTGGCTTCCACCTTTACAATTCTGAATGGGGTTGCTCAAGGAGGCAGAAATTGGCAGCCACTCGGGTGGGTATGAGAAAGAACACTGAGTCTCCACTTTTGATGTGTGGTAGTCTACTCTGGCTGCCATAACAATGTGCCTCAGAAACAAGACGCTTATTTTCTCACGGTTCTGGAGGCTGGCGAGTCCAAGGTCAAGGTGCCAGCCACTTCAGTTCCTTATGAGAGCACACTCTCAAGCCAGCGGACAGTGCCTTTTTGCTGTGTCCTCCCGCCAGCTTTTCACTTCGTGTCTTTTCCCTGGTGTCTCTTCTTATAATGACACCAGTCCTACTGGATTAGGACACCACCTTCATGACCTAATTTAACCTTAACTACCTCTTTATAGACCCTACCTTCAAGTGTAGTCATACTGGGGGTCAGGCTGTCAACCTATGAATTTGGGGAGGGCACAAGTCAGTCACACCAAGACACCTTGCACATTCTACCTAATACTTTCCATCCAATGCACTGCTCCAGTCTATCACCTGAGCTGGTGATGAGGCCAGTGGGAGGCCGAGGAGCAGGAGAGCCCAGCATCTGCTCACAGAGGGTGCAGGCCTGCACATCAGATGTGAAGGGTGCAACGGAGGCAGAGGTGGCGTCAAGCACTTCCCTGTCATTATCTCACTGAGTGTTGAGGATGATGCTTGAAACCCGGTGTCACAGAGGGAAAAAGCACTTCCCTGTCATTATCTCACTGAGTGTTGAGGATGATGCTTGAAACCCGGTGTCACAGAGGGAAAAGCGACCCTCAGTGGAACCAGGAACCAGCCCGAACTCTGTCTGTCTCCCTCAGGGCACAGTTCTTGCCTTTCTCCTCACAAGCCCCAGGGCAGGTGGACACTGTTCTTACAAGCACATTTAAAAGACACTTTGGAAAAACAGACCTAGAATAAGTCAGAGATGGCTATGGGCTCCATCCAGAAACCTGATGAAATTTCTTTTCCAGTAGAATCTTTTAAAAGTGTAAAATGCATCTTAATAAAAGCCCTTTGGGGTGACAAGGGAATAGACTTTTTATTGCTATTTTCCTCTTCATTAATTGGATATTTTCTTTTAAATTTTTTCCATATTTTTAATGCGTTTATACACAATGGTGGGATTCACTGTTACATATTTGGAGATGCACACCACATAATATAGATATTTTCTAGTGTAACCTCTCTCTCATTCCTTCACTCACAGGATCCCAGGGAGATACAGAAACAGTACTCCTGCTCAGTTCTAGTGCCACTTCCCCA